CTTTTTTTTTTTTTGGTTTTTCAAGACAGGGTTTCTCTGTTTCTCTGTGTAGCTTTGCGCCTTTCCTGGATCTCAAACTCACAAAGATCCGCCTGCCTCTGCCTCCAAAGTGCTGGGATTAAAGGCATACGCCACCACCGCCCGGCAAGTTGAACTTCTTTACCTATTCTGAGGGATAAGTCTAGGCCTTGTCTTTTCTTGTTATCACCGTGTTTTAGGGAGTAATTTTGGAAGTCTGATTTAGTAACTAGATGCTTTATAATGGTGGTGCTTCATATCTAGAAATATGCCTAGCCTGAAGTCAAAAAAGTTTGTTTTCTTCTTGAAGAGCAACAGCTTGGGTTTTGCACTGAGGTGTATGACGCTCTTCTGATATGTATTAATATGTGCTTTGTGTATAGCACCACTGTGACGTTCTTATTTTGCACATGGATGACTGGTTGTCCAGAAACATATGTTGAAGACTTTTCCCCACTAACTGTCCTTCTGCCTTTGCTGGGAATCCATGTTGTCTGTCTGTCCGTCTGTGGACTCTTCTGTCCTGTACTGTCTTGGTGATGGTACCTTTGATGTTCCTCTGCCTCGCTCTTCTTTGAAATGGTTTTGTCTGTTTTATTTCCTCCATGTTCACATATGAACTTTACAAATTTATCAGCTTCTACAAAGACCTATTTTTAGAGGTGAAGTGCTTATAGGTTAAAAACAAAAAAACAAAAACAAAAAAAACTTGCCTGGCATTTACAAGGACATAGGTTCAATCCTTAGCACTACCAAAACAACAACAACAACAACAACAACAACAAAAAACCCAAACCAAACCAAAACTCAACACTGCTTTCCTTGGGAAGGCTAATTCCATTAAATTTATAGGTCAGTTTGGAGAAAACTTGACAATATCATAACACTATTGAGTGCTGCATCTCATGAAGACAGTGTCTCCTGCCATCTATTTAGTTCATTTTTAGTTTTCAGTAAACAGATCGTTTGCATCTTTCATACGTTTAATGCTATCATATATAGCATTGTTATTAATTTTAATATTGTAATTGATATTGATAGTTTATGAAAATTGTTGAATTTTGAATATTGCTTTTGAATCCTAGAATTCATTTGATTCTTTTTTTTTTTTACCTAGATAATCATGTTATTTACAAATAGGATTTTTTAAATTTTTCTTTGAAGATTTGGGTGCCTTTCCTTTCTTTTTCTTGCCTTATTTATTGCTGTGGCAGAATCTCCAGCTTGGTGTGAGTGGAGTGATGAAGACATGGGCTTTGTCTTGTCTCCGTATCAGGCAGAAGAGACTCGTACTCTTGGGTAGGATGTTAGCTGGGGTGTTTCAAAGATGTCTGCCCAGGATGATGAGGTCCAGTCTGGCTGGAAGCATATTGCTTTTATTTCCTGAAAGGATCAGCTTAGTTGGTGCTCTCTATTTTCTTTATTTTGAACTTTCATTTTGCCAAGACCTGCTCCCTTGCCTCTGCTGCCTTAGTGCGGGGTCACAGCACGCCTCACCACACCTGGCTTGACTGCCTCCCCCGCCCCTCCCCGGCATCCTTCACATGTGGAACAAGTACCCATTTCTTGAACTGTGCTCCCAGACTTGAGTTCCCTTGAGACAGTCCCACCATGTAACCCGGGCTGTTCTCAAACTTGTGCTCCTCCTGCCTCAGCCTTCCGAGTCCTAGAAATGACTCCCCGTGTTCCCCAGCTACAACTTCACAATTTCTGTTTGGTCTTGATGGTCTTTTACTCTCTTCTGTGTTGCTGGTGATCTGCCCATCTGTGCTGTGGATCAGGAAGAAGAACATTTAAACTTTCAGCCGTTACTGGCTCTGCCGACCTCCTGTTGGCGTTTGCACCTCCGGTTTTCTAGACTTTGAGGACGTTGTCAGGACACTACCACTGTGGAGTCCTTTCTGGCCTGTCACCTGTGACATGTTGTGAACAGGGTTCCCAGAGCATCTCAGTTATCATCCTGCAAGAGCCAGCTCCCATTTCCCTCACCCTTCCCTGTGCACCACCATCATCATATGCTGCCTTGGCATGTCCTATGAACCCCAGAGACACTGCTGTTATCTCCTGCTATGTGGACAGTTATCACTGTAAGAAGAGAGAGCCTTCCATACTGTGCTAGCATGTTACATACATGGTGTTGGCTGTCTCTGTGGAGACCCAATGAAGTTTCTGCTTGTGTTTCCCGAACATGAGATTTTCCTTAATATTTACTGTGGTGCAGGTCAGCACCGAATTTCCAAATGACCGAATTTCACCTGTGCCGTAGTGCACAGAGGTCAGCTGTGACCTCTCACCTCTGTGGTGGTGGGTGGCTGTGACCTCTCACCTCTGTAGTGGTGTGGGTGGCTATGACCTCTCACCTCTGTGGTGGTGTGGGTTGTCTGTGACCTCTCACCTCTGTGGTGGTGTGGGTTGTCTGTGACCTCTCACCTCTGTGGTAGTGTGGGTGGCTGTGACCTCTCACCTCTGTGGTGGTGGGTGGCTGTGACCTCTTACCTCTGTAGTGGTGTGGGTGGCTATGACCTCTCACCTCTGTGGTGGTGTGGGTGGCTGTGACCTCTCACCTCTGTGATGGTGTGGGTTGTCTGTGACCTCTCACCTCTATGATGGTGTGGGTGGCTGTGACCTTTCACCTCTGTGATGGTGTGGGTGGCTATGACCTCTCACCTCTGTGGTGGTGTGGGTTGTCTGTGACCTCTCACCTCTGTGGTGGTGTGGATGGCTGTGACCTCTCACCTCTGTGATGGTGTGGGTGGCTGTGACCTCTCACCTCTGTCCCATGCAGGTAGGTGCCTGATTCACTAGTGGCCAGGCCCCTATGCACTGCTCAAGATACTTTATTTCTGCTCTGCATTCGGCATTCGTAGTGTCCAGTCAACCGTCTTCTCTGGCTTGGTGTCTGTCTCTCTATTCCATTGTTCTTCAGCGATTTCCCCTGAGAAGTTCACTTCGGACCCTTTTCACCCGGGCTCTGTCCCAGCTTTGTGACTGTTCAGTGTGCAGTTATGACACCTGACTTGCTATTGCACTCAGCATTGAACATCGGGTCACTGACGGGTCAGCTGAAGCTGACTGACTGTTCTTTTCAGTTTTGGTCTGTTCTACTTTAAAGGCCTGGTCACTTTTGACTGGGTGCCAGACATTTGAATTTTACCTTGTTGGGTGATAAGTCTTTACTTTGTAAGAATTTCTGAGCCTTGTTCTGGAGCCCTAAGTTTCCTGGAAGCAGTCTGGTCCTCGCAGGAGCCCAGGAGCTGGCTCCTCTGAGGTGTGGGTGAGTGAGGATCTTCCTCAGGCTTGGCGCCTCACAGAAGTCTGACCTGAGCTGTGGGCTTGCAGGTATGTGCAGCACTATGGCCTGGCCAGTGCCAGTGACCACATAGAGTGGGTGCTGAAGAATGTGGCTGTGAAGCTGAGGAAGACTCGGAAAGTGAAGATACTCACAGGCACAGGTGAGTGAGGCTGCACCAGATGGCATGGGGCCCTTACTCCGTCCTCTGCTGGGACTCTCGGCCCTCTCTGGAGGACAGGAGGGAAACACAGAAGGGAACCCGTGGGCAGCTGTCCTGGCATTAGAGCATGGGAATGGGAACTATGGAAATTTTAGGAGGAAGGACTTTGTAGTACAGGCTTCAGAGGATGGTCCTAGCTCTGGACAGTGCTGGGTGGACATGCTGCCTGTGTTCTTTCTGAACATGCCCCGTCCCTCAGGTTTCACTGATGGTGCCCCTAGTGGTCTCTTAGAGCTGGGCTATCCTTTGAGGTCCCTTTCTTATCAGACCCTTTGTCCTCAGGTGATGTCAATGTTATCCAGCCTGATTACGCCATGGCAGCCCGGGACTTCCTCCGGACCTTCCGCAGTGGGCTGCTGGGCCAAGTGATGCTGGACCGTGATCTTTTGCCTGCTTGCTGATGATGCTGACCCCTGAACTGGCTAGCAGGAGTATAGTCTCCTGGATACTCCATGGAACTGTAGCTGGAGTGTTTAATGCTCAGAACTGTTCCTCTATTCAGATCTCTGTGTGTGTTGGTACCCGAGACTCAGCCCCAGCACCAAAGGGCACTTTGTTCTCTTAGCCACTAGAGCTGGATCAGTCCTGGTTACCGCCATGGGCTCCCAGGAGTCCTGCATAGGTGGGTTGGTCAGGAGGTTTTCTCTCAGTCTCAAGGAGAGGTTAATGCTATCTTAGAGGAGTCAAAGCTATAATCTGTAATTTAAGGAAATTGGGTTAAAAATTTTAAAGAAAATCTCTCTCTGGCTGTCTCTCATTTTATTTATTTATTTATTTTTATTTTGAGACAAGGTTTCATTCTGTGGCTTGGGCTGGTCTCAAACACAGATTCCTCATGCCCCAGCCTCTAGAGTGCTGGGATTATACACGTGGGTGCCATCACACCAGGTTAAAGGCCCATTTTCTGATGGCTTTTCATTGTGCACTTAGTACCTGGAGCCCGTAAATTAAATCCCCTCCCACCAGTGGATGCTGGGGATTGGTAGATGAGGGACTGGGGTTCCTAATTCACATTCTCAAAGACCTGCAATGAGGAAGAAGCTTGCTACCAGCAGAGGGCTTTATTTCACAACGAACTCTTCACTGACACATGTGCGCACAGACATCAACAGGAGGTTTGGGATAGAAAAGCCCAGGAATGTCCTCTCCCCTTGAACTTCAGAGCCTGTACCTCGGGAGGTCATCTGCTGTAGGCTTGACTTTGCACAGGCCAGAGGATCACTGGAAGGGGGTTACCATCTAGCCATTGGACCCATGCGGCGCAGGATGTGGGGCAGAGGGTGTCCCAGCATGGTTGACCTCCACATACCTGTAGGCATCTAAAGGATGTTGTTGCCAGCCGCTTGCTGTCTAGAAAGAAAAAGGGAAGGGACTGGATAGAGACAGGAGGTGCTGTTGGGCCATCTGGGCTATGCTTGCTCAGTAGTTCTAGTTTCTTCTGTCTGGTATTGATCTGGCCTTCCCATAGTTGCCGAACTAGTTAGTGCTTGCGTGCTCAGCAGGCTCTCGGCTGCTTCTGGACGGCTGATAACGGGCTAGCCTTCCACTGTTGCCTCTTGTGGCTGTAGTAAGATAAGCCTCCTCTGAGATCCTCTCTTAGCATCTTATGGCTCTTGCTGGTGGAGAAAGTATTCAAAGACGTGTAGCTGTGCCAAGTGCTAAACACTCTGGAGAAGTCAGATTGGTGTGTGAAATAATAATTAAAAGGCAGTGTTTCCATTATGTCCAGAACTAACACATGGTGCTCTGGTACGTGAAGGTCAGGTCCACATAGCGCATCCCCATAGGTGTTTGACCAGCTGAAGGGGCCCTAGTGGGTCTTCCTGTACCAGACTTGATGGTACTTGCCTTTGAGGCCCTGAGTGGGCTTGGCCCTTAGCTTGCTGGTCTTGGTATTGAGCTTGGTCTGTAAGGGACAGAGAAGCATCTGGGCTGGCTGTGCCTAAGAGCACCGGCAGTGTGGAGAGAGGATGCAGGGAGCTGCACCCTGCACCTTGTTGGTCAAGAAATTGCTTGGCTAGGGTCCTGCCAATAGCCTTGGAACCTGTATACTGGCCAGAGGTTTGCCAGGCTAGCATTGTGTATACTGACTGAGCCCAGAGACCCATCACTCCATGGGGCAAGGATGTGCTGGTGGGCCCTGGAGCAGCAAGGAGCCAGTCTGCCCCAATGTAGATCCATGTGAGGACTATAGTGCATCTCTTTGTTCTCAGGATGGATATAGATGGTCAGAAAACTTTTAGTAGTGTTAGACCACACCCACCCACAACCTGCTGAGGCTGGCTTTGCTGTGTCTGTTAGCTTTCCTCTGACGTCAGTGGGCCTGAAGAATTGTTGTGTTCTCCAAAGTGCAGGCTGCCAGCTGCCAATTGTGTCATATTCTCTTACCTCCCCGGTCCATCTGTTTCCAAGGGAGAGGGTCTCCCAACACAAGATGCTGCTCTCCACTGGCATTGTGGGAATCTTGCAGTTTGGGTCATGTACAAAGAAGGTTCCAGCAGGATTGGTATTGTATCCAAGTGACCCTCACTCGTGAACCTAAAGTCAAAGGAAATGGAATGTTTCTGAATGTGGAGCCCTGACTCTCAGTGGATCTTGGGAACAGTTAAGTGGTCCTTATGGCCAAGTGGCTCCAAGTGGGGAACGCTTTTGACAGAAGGTGTCTCAGGCAGTCTGTGAAGAAGAAACATGCTACCTTGGCCTTGGTAGCATGTTCAAGGAGGACCATAGTGGGTGTCCTGGGATGGGTGTTTCCTGCTCTGGATGTTCCTGAGCGGTGACATCATTAGGACCTGCTCTGGGCAGGTGGTTAGCACCTGACATTTCTCACACTGCAGTCCAAGTGCATGTTCTCTTCACCAAATTGTGAAGTCCAGAGGGAAGTGGTTCGTTCCTTCTGCTTCCATGGAAGGCGCACGTCTTTTGGGCTTTAGTGGCAGAATCAGGCGGGCCCACCTGAGAATGGCCTCCTCCTGGTGGTCAGCATTAATTCATGTTCGTGTGTCCAGGGCAAGCACACAGGCATGGCCCGACACTTCCTCTTGGGCAGCTCTGGAGAGTGGAGGGCGGCAGCCTGCCTCTCTGGCAGTGGAGCTGTTCCTGCCAGGGTGGAAGATTGGGAGACTGGGATGGGCAAGAGAGTAGACAGTGTCCACAAATTGCAAGAGAGCTTGTGGGCTCAGAATGCCTATATTGTCATCTGGGCTGGGGAACCATAGTCAGCAAAAGGAGCTAGAGGCCACTGGGATGGTCCCTAGGGCCCCATGTCTCGATGACTCGGCCTAGGAGCCAGATCTGGGGCGGAGCTCAGCTTGATCTAGGGCCAAAGCAGTTCTAATGCACCAAGGGTGCCGCCCAGAAGCAGGCAAACACTTGGGCTGGGAATGGACCCGGAGCCCGAAGTCCAGGCCCAGTAGCTGTAGACTCCTCGGTCAGTTCCGTTGCCTCCAGTTGCCCCGTTCTCATCATCCTCCAGGCCTAGCTCACCAGGCCCCGAGGTCCTCCTCCAGCCAGAGCCGGTGGCAAGGCCTGCAGCCACACCTGCGGCAGCACCTGCAGCTGCCCCTGCAGCGGCCACACGCACAGAGGAGCCGTAGCGGGGTGCCGGCCTCACGCGCACTCTCGATGCCCCGCGCGCGCCTCCGCGTCCCCCGCGGGCGCTGCCCCGAGCACCTCCCCGGCCGCCCTTGGCCGAACAGCTGTCACAGAGGAAGGCGGCGGCCAGCAGCAGAGCCCAGCACGTGGCAGCAGTCCAGTTCATCCTACTGGGCAGAATCTGTGAGAAGAGGGTGGAAGGGGCTTCAGCTTCTGTGAAGGGGGTGGAGCTTGGTTTAGGGCCTGGGCAAGGGGTTATCAGGGCCTGGGAATAGGCTCATCCGGTCCTGGGAACACCGACATCAGCCTGAAGGCAGAACGAACCTCTGATTTGGTGGTAATCTGACAGAGGGCTCCCAGCATTTTGGAGGACTGTGGGCTCAGGGCTGGGGAAGGGGCTCCTTTAATCTCCAGCACCAGGACTTTGGTTTGGGGTTCCTGCTATGTAACGGGGTGGAGGTGGGGTGAGAGGGCTCAACAACAGGGCTGCCGTTTTACTGTTGTGGTAGGGTGGAGATGGGGTTCGCTGAGCTCCCTCAGTGGGGTTCAGGCGGGGGGGGGGATTGGAAGGCACAAATCCCTCACTCTGCACACGGATCTCTGGAATGGCTGGAGATGGATTAGTGTATGGAGAACGCTAGTTAGGAATTGAGAGCCCCCAATACACCCAGATTAGGGTTTGAATGGGCAGCCTTGTGACTTGCTCTGCTATCCTAGATCTCCTGATGCCTCCCTCGCCTGAGCCTTTCAGCCAGAGGCTGCGGCTGCACGCACTGGTGATGGTGGTGGTGGTGGTGGTGGTGGTGGTGGTGGGGAGGGGGAGCAGAATCTAGATCAGCGATCCTTGCAGCACAAACAACCAGCGCTGGGTGAAACACTCGGCAGGCCGGGACCCTAAGTACGTCTTTCTCCTCCCCGCCCCAGCTCCACCCTTCCTGGATTTGCTCCGGCTGTCAGTCTCGGCAGGTCACTGATCAGGATGGGTTCCGGCTGGCTGTGGACCAGCAGTCTGGGTGGCGACTCCATCCTCCTCAGATCCTCTCTCCCCGCCCCCTCCCCTTTCCTCCCTCCCAGCCTCACTGGGTTCATCCATTTCCCCGACTTACTGGTCACAGGTCTAGGTCGGAACAGCGGTGCAGCGCATAGCGCATAGGGGCGGTGGCCAGCCGAGCGGAAAGGTGCGGCGGCGAGAACCCTCTTCCTGAGGCAGAGCTCACGACTGGATTTTGCTGAAGCCTCCGCCTGAAGATTAGGGGCGGGCTGCGGCGGAGGCTCAGCCCCGGGAGACGCGAAGGGAGGAGGTACTGCAAGCTCAGAAAGGCACAGCCCCAGTCCCTCTGTTGCCCGGCCCCCATGCTAGCTCTGCTGCGTACTGCTTCCTCCCACCCCATCTTCCCCCAACCCTCCAGCTCTGCCCGATCTTTCCTTTCCCTATGTCCACTAGCCCCACCACCCAGGACATCCAGTACGTTCTTGTCCCTGTCGGTCCAGCATCTTTGTTCATGGCCTCTCCCTCTTCGGTTCTCCCTACCTGCCCATCTCATGAATTTCCTACCTCCTTTCCCATTCCGTTGATGTAACCCCAGCTTCACCGACTCCTCTTCTCCAGCCAAAAGGACCACTGCACTGCCTTTCTAGGTATGTAGGGCTCTCATTAAATTGGGGTGTGCCCAACACCCTGCCATATGGCCTTGCAGGCAGTTTGATCCACAGCCATGAGCGTCCCAACAGCACTAAAGTCCCTGCTGATCTGAACTTTTCCTGAACCTTCTGGAAACAGGCCCCTTGGAGAACCATCCCTCCTTTATTTTCAAGCTGACTGACCTGCCTTTGTAGGGTTAGGGCAGCTTCAGCTCCAGACAGCCATGAGGGTTTTCATCTGCACTGCACTTGCTTTCCAAGGCCCAAGATTACAGTCTGAGCAGCCAGGGGCAGCCCTGTCCTGGCCCAAGCTTAGTTGAGAGCATTCTGGGCATCTGAGATGCAGCTAGTGGGTAGGGGCGGGATCTGGAGAGGAAGGGAGATGGTCCTGGTCCTGGTAATCTGGGCTCAGCAATCCCTGGTTAGTGTATGAAGCTCCTCTCATTGAAGCCACTGTGGTTTTGAGCTTTCTTTCACGTGTAGTTGAAAGGCCTTTGCCCAAAGGCTGGCTGATGACCCCTTTTAGTTCAGACAGGGAGAGCTCCCAGGAGTTCCTTCCCTCCCCTACTTCATGTTAAATGTGAAGGACAGACACAGTTTGTTAGACAGTCAAGGCCACTGCAACACACAAGAACAAGGCCAAGTATAAAACAACACAAAAGGTTTGAGGACCCAGAGGAAATCCTAAAATTCACTCTCTCTCTCTCTCTCTCTCTCTCTCTCTCTCTCTCTCTCTCTCTCTCTCTCTC